ACAACTGACAAACCCCCCCCCCCCCCCCCCCCCGAGAATTCTGGCAGAAAAGGAGAGAAGTCGGCAGCCTTCGCTCTGGCAACCCTCCCCCTTGCCTGCCCAGGTTCCACCCTCTCCGCTGGGCGGTGAAGATCCCGATCCTGTCCGTCCCTTCCACCTCCCACCCCCGCTCCTCGTCTCCCGGCTGGGTGGCTCCTCCCACTCCCGCGAGGAGGCTGTGCGAGCGCTTCAGCGCCCGGCGGCCACCCCTTCCCTTCCCTTCTCTTCTCCCCCACCCCCTCCGCGTGTCCCGCTTCCCTGCTAGTGGATGTCGTCGTCGTTTCTTCCCCCGCGCGAGCCCACGGGGTGTCACTCCTCCGGGATGACCTCAACCTCGGGCCGAGCCTGGCGCCTCACTCGCTTCGGGCATCCGCGGAGCCTGGCTGCTCGCTGAGGCCGAACGATGGCCACGGACCCGGACCCCTGAGCGACTCCAGCCGCCTGGAGCTGTTCGCGGCGCGGCGGAGAAGCCAGCCAGCCAGCCAACCCACCGCCCTCCCTCCAGCCAAGCCAACCCAGGTAGTGCTCGCAGCTCCGGAGGACGACAGTTTCCCGGCCGGCGGAGAGAGGCGGAGGCAAGCGCGGCAGGGCAGGAGTTCCTGGGCGTTTCTGCTCCTGGCGCGGGGTAGGGAGATTCTGGGCCGGGGCCTCCAGGGAGCAAACTCCGAGTCCCTGGAGATCGGGAGGATGATGCTTCCCGGCGGAGGAGCACTTCGAGAGGCTTCTCCGCAGCACCTCTCCGAGCCGGGCGCCTGCCTCCACTTGGAGGTCCGGTCCCTCACGGCGTGCTCCGCTCCCGATGCACAAATCCGGATTTGTGCATCACTCCTGGAGTCCTCCCCCTCCCCCCCGCTTGCCGGCTCGATTACACAGACAATCGGGCGGGAGCCCCACATTGGTATCCAGGGCCGGTGAGGGCAGGGAGCTTTTCTGTGCATCTCCAAACCCGCCTTGGACCATGCCATCAGTCCAAGAAAGGCTCTCTCGTTTGGGATTCCACCTCCTGGTTTACGCGGTTCTCTCTTTCTGTAGCTAACGCAAATGTAGTAGACTTTGTTCCATGGCTGGTTGCAGGGAGGATTTCACTCGGTTTATTTCCCACAAGCTGCTGCTCCACGCTCGTTCCTCCCTTTGCCCCGATCGTACGGGTCAAGTTCACACCATTTGCTGTGCGGCCGCATTTTGCTCCGCAGCTTTTCCCGATTCCCCCCGTCTACTCAATCCTGTTTTTTGAGGACTGAGTAGACGCCGGGGAAATCGGGCGAAGCTGCGGAGCAAAATGCGGCTGCACAGCACATGGTGTGAAATTGACAGGTACGATGGGGCAAAGGGAGGAACGAGCGCGGAGCAGCAGCGTCTGGGAAATCAGTAACTAGGAGGAACCGGACTGAGACTCGCACCTGTCTCTTATTTCCCACTGGCAGTCCGAAGTACAAACCAGATATATCCCTTGGGAAAGTTAAGGAGATGAAAGTTGTGCGCCTGTAACGCTTACTCTGGAGTAACCCATTGCAAGCGTTGAAACACACCCCAGTTTAGCCCGCAGAACCCAGGGCTGCAAGCCTCTGCACCTGTCCATGGGATTAAATCCGACTGCAACCAGTGGGATCCTAATGGGATTCCATCGGACTGCAAATTGCTTAGACCGAGAGAAGAGACTTTCGCTGAGATCAGCGCCAGAAGACTCGCTTGCCCCGCGCTCGGCTGCAGCCTCGGTGATTTGTCTGAGCCGGAGAGCCTGCCCACCTGACTTACGCAATAGCTCTTCGAATCTGCTCGTGGCTGCCAGGCGAGGAAGCTGGTTCTGAATACCACCCAGACCTCGGCAGATGGGGTCTCCGACCCAGCCGGCCCTCCTCGGATCCTCGGCTCGTGTCTGCTGCACCAGAGAATCTGGCGGTTTCCGAGTAATGGCAACCCCCTTCCGTGCTAGCGAATGCCTTTGTGCCCAGGCTCTGGGCACGAGGATGATTGTCAAGGGTTGCACTCGAGGCGGAAGCGCAGCAGAGAAAGCCCCACTGATTTCGCTTGAGCGGCGGGCGGGTTTGCGAGCTCCCTTCCCACTTGGCCGCTCCGTCGCGGAGGGAGGCGGTAGAGCCCCGGGTTTGAGGCAAGGCCGGTTCAGTCCCGTGGAAATCAACGCCTCAGCCTAAGCACCCGGCTCGGGAGCCGGCTCCAGGAATTCCCCAGCTGCCCGTCGAAACCCCCGCAAGCACAGGCGTGCGGCGCAGGGTCCTCTCCCCCTTCCGCCTTCTCTCCGGGGGACTTCGCGGCAGAGCCCCCGGCCAGGGCTCCTTCCCGCCCGGCTCCAGCGAACTCCGGGCCCAAGCGACGCGGGGACTCCCTCCCTCCGGGCCCGCGCTCAGAAGCGCTCTCCTTCCGACGAGCCCTCGGTGCGGGCGCTGAGAGAGATGCCTCTGTCGACCGGCTCCCGGCGGTGAGGTGAGCAGCCCGCGTGCCCCCGGGGCCTGCCCTCCGCTCTGGCGTTTCCCAGCGAGGCGGGCCGCGTCCGGCCCCCGGGGGCGCGCGCTCTCGGCGTCTCCCCGCTCCTCCCCCCCCCCCCCCCAGGTGCCAGCGCCCTCGCCAGCCGGGATGCGGTGGCCGACGTGGGAGGCGCTGGTGGCGCTGGCGGCGGTGGCGTGCCTGGCGGCGGGCGTGCGCGGCGGCTACGGCCTGAGCATGTTCGCCGCGCAGCCGGCGCCGCAGCCGGACCCCTGCTACGACGAGACGGGCCAGCCCCGCCGCTGCATCCCGGACTTCGTCAACGCGGCCTTCGGCAAGGAGGTGAGGGTGTCGAGCACGTGCGGCCGCCCGCCGGCGCGCTACTGCGTGCTGGCCGAGAAGGGCGAGGAGCGGAGCCGCGCCTGCCACCTCTGCGACGCCGCCGACCCCAAGCGCGCCCGCCCGGCCGCCTACCTGACCGACCTCAACAACCCGCACAACCTGACGTGCTGGCAGTCGGAGGCCTTCGTGCAGCACCCGCTCAACGTGACGCTGGCGCTGGCGCTGGGCAAGAAGTTCGAGGTGACCTACGTCAGCCTGCAGTTCTGCTCGCCGCGCCCGGAGTCCATGGCCATCTACAAGTCGATGGACGGCGGCAAGGCCTGGGTGCCCTTCCAGTTCTACTCCACGCAGTGCCGCAAGATGTACAACAAGCCCAGCCGCGCGCCCATCACCAAGCAGAACGAGCAGGAGGCCATCTGCACCGACTCGCACACCGACATGCGGCCCCTCGCCGGCGGCCTCATCGCCTTCAGCACCCTCGACGGGCGGCCCTCGGCCCACGACTTCGACAACTCCCCCGTCCTGCAGGACTGGGTCACGGCCACCGACATCAAGGTGGTCTTCAGCCGCCTCCACACCTTCGGCGACGAGAACGAGGACGACTCCGAGCTGGCCCGCGACTCCTACTACTACGCCGTCTCCGACCTGCAGGTGGGCGGCCGCTGCAAGTGCAACGGGCACGCCTCCCGCTGCGTCCGCGACCGCGAGGACAACCTCGTCTGCGACTGCAAGCACCACACCGCCGGCCCCGAGTGCGACCGCTGCAAGCCCTTCCACTACGACCGGCCCTGGCAGAGGGCCACCGCCCGCGAGGCCAACGAGTGCGTCGGTGAGTCGGCCCAGCGCCCGCCCGCCC